TGGACTCCCTCTCAGGCTCCAGGTAAAATATTTTTCTGGGAAACACAATGGCAAACGCAGTATCTGAAAGCAGCCTTAGTTCTGTTGTTTAATTGATAAAAGATCATGAAAGATACTCTGGTGAAATGTAGCTAGAGTTGTATATCTGTGTTAGTTCTGTGGGACTAAAGTCAGTTAGCAGTGGGCTAATATGTAGAATGATTAGTTACTGCTGGGGGACAGCTTAAATATTTTCAGGCAAAGTTTTCATAGGTCTCCTGACATTAATTTTTAGTTATATCCTGACTTACCAACGTTCCTAATTACAACAAGACTGACCTTCAGCCATGGACTGTGGCTTCTTGGACTGTGCCCTTGCAATTCTGGTAGCCTGTTGGTCCTTATTTTTGTTCTAACACACGTGTGACTCCCCTTAGCTTAGGTATGCTTATGGATGAGGAACAGGCAGTCTGGTATTCCTTATTTCCCTCTGTTGTCTCTGGGTTAGGATAAATGACGTGTGTATACCTGATCTGTGAATAAACTATTTCCTGTACGAAAGAAGTTTGGAAAATACAGTTCCTCCTTCCTCCCTTCCTTCCTTCCCCTCCCCTGTCCTACCTCTCAGCAACTTTCAGGCAGCTCCATAGACATGTTCCAGCAAATGCCAGGGCTCTTCAGGAAGGACTATAAATCCTGTACATAATCCCTGCAGTAGGTTAGTGCTCAGGTTAGCCCAGTGAATTTGCAGTGTTATGGTTACAAGGGATTTAAGGGCATTATCTTTCCTGTGCAAACAGTGTTATGGAAGTTCTTCAGGGATTTTCCCATATAGCTCTGGCAGCTAAAGACAGATTGCAGAATATGGTTTTGAGAGCAAAAAAAAGTAAGGCTTTCTGCTTCCTGATTTGTTTTTTGAGTAGGTGTGAATTTTATGGACACGTTAAATTAAAAAAAGAAAAAAAAAGATTTAAAAATATATTTATAAACTGTTTCTAAGTCACGTGGAATGGTTTTTTTGTGTGCATAAACCTGTTAAACTTTGAAGAATAGCACGTAAAAATCTGGAAGTAGAGGAAGATGCCCCATTCAGTGCCATTTGGAAGCTGAGATCTTACCCATCTATGCTCCTCTGTTGAGCATTCCACTGCCAGCCCTGCAGGAGAGAAGCAGTTTTTAGAATACAGGAGGGTCGGATCTGTCAGCTGTCACATGAAGAAATGCTATGTGTCTTCTGGGTTTGGCTGTAAGAATCTGGGAGGGAAATGCCAGATTAGCGGGGAAAGAAGGAACATTTCCCTTTGTAAACAATCTTACAAGAAGATTACAATTCTTTGGAGCTGCTTAGAAATTCTGGTAGAGTGAGTCCAGGCAGGATGGGTTTGTGGAAGAAACAGCTGATGGGCGGTAAATGAGCATGATTAACAATTTGGTTTGGTTCAGTTTATTTCTTCAAGTGTTGTGTATGTTCTGTTTTGGAAACCTAAAGTATATATGTTGGTCCTTCTGAGTGGATGCTTTCTATTATTTACAGTAGTGTGTAGTTATACACAGACTCTGACAAATACAGCAGTGTCATAGAGTCTATTTTTAGGCTCAGATATTTGTGATTATGACCTAAGGTGCCAAAACTTAGCCAAGCTATGAGCAAGAGGATCTTACAGGCAAACAATGCTATTGACCTCATGAGTAGCCTGGTACCAAAGAAGGATCATCTGTACCAGGACAGGACGTTCTGCTGGTTTTTTCCCTTCTGTCCTCTTAGTTTCCTCTGTTCTAGACAGGCAGGATGAGTTGGAGAGGTAGAGCATAGTTTCTGGGCTGGAACAAGCTGTTTATTTTCCATTGTTTGTAATCATGCATGCCTTATTATGCCTCTTTCTTTTCTTTTCTCTCTCTATTTTTTTTTTTTTTTATTTTTTAACTGGGATTTTCCGTACTGCTCCCCTGAGGATTGGTGGCTGCCTTCCAAGTTGAGTTTCTGCTCTGCATAGGGCAGTCCTTGGGACTGGTCATGTATCCCTTGATTAGAAGTGGGTATCCCATGCCTGTGTGAACAGTCCCACTGACCCTACAGCGGGCTAAGTACATCTGAGTCCTTCCTCCCCTCAGGCAGGACTGGAATAAAAGTGAAAACCCACTCGCCCACTTCTGAACCTCCTCAGTCACTGCTAAAAGTTATCGATAGTCATTAATTCTTAAAAACAGAGTAGCATCTGAAAAGGAACAAGCAGAGCTGAAACAAGTGCTGTGCTCAGTCAGTTAACAGCCATGGCATATACTCAACCCAAAACATTCCAACGTGGAAGATACCCAGGAGCTAACCTGAGCTGCTTGATGTTTTCTGAGGTGTGACTGTTTGCATCTTCACGGTGACTTCTGTAGTGATAGACTTGTGTTTGCTGTAGTGTTCCCCCTCCTTTGCCTCTGCCTTGCTTCTGGCAGCGTGGTTTGCATCCCACCCTGCATTTGCTTACGTTAAATACATCTCTCAGCATTTAACATCTCTCAGCGTCTCCAGACAAGGATGTGTTTTTCTGCCTCCGGCAAACCACTGGCTCTATCCTTCTCCTGTTACTGAGACTCCCCCCCTCTACTCCCTCTGGTTAGAGGTCAATCTGAAGTGCAGGAAAGAATGATTATGATAACAGGAGGAAACAGGAAGAATCATGCTTTCTTTTTCAATCTGTTTTTTATTATTGTTTTAATGTAAAACACTGTTTCAATTAAACGCTGACCTGTGCAGTGGCGTGTGCGTGCACATGCTGAAATGAATTCCGGCTTTGTTTGGAAAGCTGTGACCTCTTTATTCCTGTTCTGGATCAAGGCTGTTGCCTTTCAAACCCGCTGCTGAGGACTGAGATTTCACTCGTACTCCTCGTAGCACAGGCAGTAACAAACCTGAAGAGCGGTGTTTTCCTTGGGCTTTCTTATGTGCTGCGCTCTCTGAGTTTTTAAAATAAGCTCATTTGGTTTTGAGACTTACTCATGCCAGATAACCAGAAAAGATAACCATGACACAATTAAAATGCATCACATGAGCACTGGGCTAAAGTGGTACTTAGTGGAGCTGATAGGTACAGAAATGAGCGGAGTTACTTGTTTCCTCTATGCCTTAATTTCATGCTGTGTTAATTATTCTTGCGTTTTTTTAAAGTGAGAGTGTCCCACGTGAATTGACTTCAGCAAAAAGAAAATGTAAGACTGAACCCAAATACCTGCTCCCACCCTGCAAAGTGTTGGCTGCAGTGACACTGGAGTAAGATGTCGAGTTTATTTGCCTGGATATAATTTTTAAGTCTAAGGGGTGAATCTATGTTGTCTCAGTTAAGTTTTTTGTTTGCTTAAAATGAACTCCTTAGAGGAAGGAAGAAGGGGGCGAGGAATACCATGAAAATTGTCTGGGTTGTTAAAATGAGTCAGTTGTATTTTATGCTTGTCCTCTGGTGACCAGATTTTCATTTTTCTCCTTGGCCTCATGGAATGTTTTTATTTATGTATCTTATTAGTTTTGGATGTTCTGTGCAAGGGGAAACCTGAATTACAAACTTTTTTTTCTTCGTGTTATTGTATTAAGAGCCTGGGTATTGGATGCAGGTGCTCAGACTCTGCTGTAATTGGCAGTTTATGGAGAGACACCAGCTGTACTGCTTCACAGGGGACATATTATATCTCTTCACACATTGTATATATTGTAGGAAATGCAGAATTCCTGTGATTGTCAGAAATGTTGCATGTCTGCTTCTACCAGTGCCTCTACAGGGAAAAAAAAAAAAAAGACAACAATCTACTGAAAGTTAAAACCATGTCTATTTTCAGAAACGGCTTAATCCCTTTTATTGTCCTTTCATGTAGCACTAATTGGTGTTTTGTTTGGTTAAATATAGAAGAGACTTAACAAATGTTTGTCTTTTTATGGTCATGCAAGGTGAACTGGCGTGGTATGAACGGCCTCATTTGTTTGGGAACACATGGCAACAGATACGTAATATCTGATGTGTGTATACCTGCGTATAAAATTATGCTCATCAACTAATAACATACAAAAAAAGATATTTGACAGCTTCAGTCCACAGAACAGGATTGGAAAGAGAAGCAGTAAAACTCCTTGAGTTATATTAGACCTCAAAAGGGATAATTATACAGTGGGAAAACCATGATGCTTCTGGGCCTCTTACACAACAGGGGCTGCAGTTGCTCTCCGGGGAATGCCTGGGAGGTGCGAATGGTACAACCTGGTCCTGCCCAAGGAGTATTGATATATTGATGTGTGAGTGGGTGGGACTTGTGTGGCTTTTGAAGGATTGATTTATAGGGGGAGACTAGGAATTAAGTATGAAGATTTATAGGTATTGTGTGTGAGTGGTTTTGGCCAAACAAAGGAGAAGGTGAAAGCTATGCCTCATTTGAAAAGTATGATCACTGAAGGGAATTAAGAGCTGTCGGGTGTTGCAGGGAGTATTTGTTGCATGTCAAGAAAAACATAGGTGTCTGGCATTTTACCAGGTGGCAAAATAGGGTTCCAGTGCAGGTTAAAGAAACCTCATCAGTTTGCTTTTAAGAGCAGCTTGGAAAATACAGTCCTGATAATAGAGAAATGGACCAGGTTGCAGATGTCTTACTTGAGCTGATTTAATGTTGCCTTGAATATTCATTGCCCCTCTTCCTCTGTGGTGTAGAAAAGTGTTCAGATCAATGTATGGATATTTGGAGGTTTTTCTCTGTTCTTCTCATCTCCGGGAACACAGGAACAAGGCTGTTTCATCCTGTCTTTTGGAACAGATTTAGTTTATATTCTGTCTGTGCTTGTTAAATCCCCTGTTTCATGCTCTCCCATCAGAAGCGTCTCGCGTGTTCTCTGACGCAGTTCAGACCTGGCGCTGACACATTCCTTTGGACATCATTTCCTTTCCAGAGCTGCTGCGTGTTTGTGTGTGGTACACTTTGTTTGTGAGAACCAAGGGGAAGTCTACATATTTCCATGGTTTTGTTTTTTTGTTTTTTTCTTCTTGTTTTAATAGGTTTGCACGCCTTGCGGAGAGCGCTGGGGAAGAGCCCTAACCTGTTAGACACCGAGGTGGCTGGGTCAGTGATGATTGCTTTCAATGACTTCCTGCAGGGGATGAATGATGTCAGGCCCAGTGCCATGAGGGAGGTGGCAATTGATGTGCCAAAAGTAAGTTGTTTTGTGCAATACTCTGGCAGCGTTGCCAGAGCCACGTTAAGAGAGGAACTTTGTGAAGCCTTAAGTTCCTGATTAATGCTGTGCATCGTCTTTTTGTTTCCATATTTGTTTATTTAACTGGGATTTGGAAGAACCGTTTACAGAAGCTTAATTTCTTAAATGCTTTAGGAAGAGTTTATAGTGCAGGAGCATATCTCCTGCTCTGTAGTTTTAGATGCTGAGGGGGTTAATGGGGTAAAAATCTTCAGATGTCTGCTTAAAGCTGGTCCTGAACAGCCATGAAAGCTGGAGCCTTTTGTGAAGCAAGCAGAAACTAAAGCAGAAACCAGCTGTTAGCATTTGTAACCAAAGGGTATGGAAACAAAGCTGTGGAGAGTTTGATTGCTGTGATTTTCATGTAAATGTGACCTGAGTGTCTTCAGTGGCATTATGTTTTTCACTGAAAGCAGAATTCAGCACTGTAGGCAGGTTATCATTGCCAAGCCTGTCACAAGCTGTGATGGTATGAACAGTTCTTTTGGTGGTGTCAGGTTCATCTTTATCCTACCCACTGCCCTCTCAATTACATGTTAAGAGTAGTTCAGTAGCAGACTCAGCATAAATTGGGTTGGGGAGCTGATCTGGTTTAAGACAACTCTGATCCGGGTTAAGAAGATCGAGCGAAAGAACTTTGTGTTTAATCCTCCTGAATCCTGACTCTGTGAGTGGCTGTGCTGGTGTTTCTCAGCAGCTCCCCAAACCCTAGAAGAAAACATTTTTGTCTCATTGCATGAAGATGAGTCACTTGGGCATTAGGTTGCACAACTGTAGACCCTTACTCCCAAACTATAGGAATGGGAAATAAAATCTCCGCACTGCATGCTGCACACAGCCGGCTCGGATGTCACACTTGGCTTGTTAAACAGAGTCCATGCTGTGCAGGGAATTGCTGGGTGGAATTGCCTGGGCTGGCCCCAGGCAGCTTTTCCTGGAAGTGGTGTGGTGGCATCGATATCCACAAGGGAATGCTGCTAAACAGCACAATACACACAGGTAGAAGCAAGGTCTTGAGGTACTGCAGGAAGTCTGTTCTCAGTCCAGGTCAGCCTACTGCTCAGGTTCCTGTTGTCCACTAAATCATCCTGCCAGGGCCTTCCTTGATTGTCACTTGATTTTATTTGTTAAACACCTCCTGAGTCACTGCAATGCTACTGAAATTCATTCCTTTATTGAAGGGAAGGTAACAACATAGTGCAGACTCCTTTAGTGCTGACAGGACCTGCATTTCACCGTGGAGGACCTGCATGTTTTGTGAAGAGGCAGTGGAAATTGGAGGTCATCTGCTTGGTGCCTGGAGTGAGTTTAAAGTAGAAACTTAGGTACTGGATGCAACAGATTTTGTGTCCTCCCGTGTCACCTACCGAAGAAGGGGAGTTTGGAACTAGATGATCTTTAGGGTCTGTTCCAACTCAAACCGCTCCATGATTCTGTAGCCACTACCATCTAAAAAAAATCCTTACTAAAAATAACTCTAAACACTAAATAGATTATCAGCTATGAGATTTTTCTTTTTCCAAAGAGAAGAAAGAAATAAATAGCTTTTCAGCTATTTATTGCAGATACAGGATTTGCTTGGCAGGCCCCTTGGTGTGGATGGGAATTTTGGCTTGTGTAGTTAGTTACAGGTAAAACCATTGATGCACATGCTGAATTTAACTGAAATTTTTGTGACTTTTAACTTGAAATTGATTAAGAGTTCAAAGTAATTTCTAAATAAAGCCACAGGTCCTTCCTCATGTGCCTGGATTGCCATGTGTGTAGGCTGTGACTGAGGCAAATGCAAAATACTTGCTGCCTGATTCCACATAGCATCTTGTTTTCCATTTTTACAGAACCTTTCTTGAACTTTGCTGTGTGTTACAGCCTTTTTAGAAGGCTGCTTTTTCTGCAGCAGGGATTTAGGAGGGAGGGGATGCACGTTATAAATCAGGAAGTTAATACTGCAGCTCTTTGGAGAGCTGCACTGTAGATGCTGTTCCTCCCTCTCCTATGGGTCTTCCTGAAACTTTGTTAGCTGTGGGTTTTGCTTGCCTCTCTCACTCCCTTTGCTGTAATTCAGCACTTGGATTTGTGTCTTTGCAGCCAAAAGATTCTGGATGAGACATCCTGTGCACGTCTGCTTTATTTCTTCATTGCTGGTGCTTAATAACCTCTGGGGAGTTGCTGCTCTGGGTCATGTTCTGAGCTCTGTTGACCTGGGGAGATTATGGCAGTAATGAAATCTTGGGGTCTTACACACTTGCAGCAGAGCACTGGCTTTGGATGTGTCAGCTCAGCCCCAAGGCTAATCTTTAAAATCATTTCCATGGTGACAGAATATCACACTTCATTGCTGGTGTTGCAGGAGCTTCCCCGTGAGTTCCTGTGCAGGTGAAAGCTGTGTAGCTATTGCTGGTGGGCTGCCCCCACCCACACTTCTCTCTCTCCTTTTGAAATGAGGAAATAAAAGTCTGTTTTGTTTACAGCTTGACCAGAATGTGAAGGTAGTGGTTGATTAATACTGTTGCTGCTTCAATTCCATACCTTGTATTATAGAAATTCTAAATAAGCGAATTTCTGACTGGTTAATTTTTTTAACAGGAGATCGCACATTTTAGTAGCCATATTTGCATGCCCTGACCCAGTTGTTTCCTCTTTTTCCTTTTCCCAGTTTTCAATGTAAGCAAAATCAGAATAAGTCTCCAGCTTACTGGAAACAAACTTGATGGAAGGTGGCTCTGCTTCACCTTTTCTGTGCAATTCTGTCACTGGTGGTGGTGTTAAATGACATGCAGTGGGTCTGAAAAATCACTTGAATAATGCCTCAGAAGACTTGTTGCAGTAGACTGAATATTTGCAAGAGGGTAAAAATAACATTTTAGATGTTTTCCCTGGCTTTTTATATGTGTGCAAAGTGCATTTTGCTTTCTGTTGCTGAAAGTTATAGGGAATTCCTGAGGGCCAGTTAATTTTAAGACATTTTTGTTCATGTTTGTCAAACTCTTTGTCTAGATAGAAAGACATGATGATAGGAATGACTAGTCCATGCTGTACCAGGTATGTGTAAGGATTGATACTGAAAAAGGAGAACAAGCTGATGTTGTCAGTCTTCTTCCCTAAGAAGAAGTTGTTTAAGAGTGCCAGGATTTAGTTGTGTGCAGTTTACAGAGCTGCTGGATAGAATTAAGGGTTGTAGGGGTAGGTAATACATCTTTTTAAAATGAGCCTTAAACCACACTCTTTCATATCTGACTCAGAAGTGCGAACTTATGTAACGTGGGAAGATTGAGTTTAACTGTCCTGCGTTTAATTATGTTACTCAACCTTGAAATTTGAGTGACAAGGGTTTACATGGGTGCAGCAGTGGACAGGTGCAAGTGAGGTATCTGGCACGTGGTCTCACTTTTTATAGACTGGTCTGTTTGCTTCACTGTAGTTAAAAATCTGTATGTGGGTTTCTGTCTCTCTCTGTCTCAGCTGTGTTGGGAGCCCAAGATACCCAGCTCAAAGTCAGGTGATAGGAATTTCCTTTGCCTTTGACAGATCCCTTCTGCTCTCAGATCCTTCTTGGTAGGCAGTGGTGATCAACTCTACGTATTTGATACTTCTCCAGGCTTATAAATTAATTATTTAAGAACCAGAAGCTGTTGGTTACTAAGATAGAGGTTTGGTTTTTTTTCTAGTGTTTCTGTGACATATTCCTGGTGTGAGATGGATGATGTTTAGGCAGCAGATGGGCAGCTCCTCACCTTCCAGTTAGCCTTTAAACCCAGAGTATTTCTCAGGGGTTGACCCACATGTCTTGATTTTTGCTGTTTGCTCTCTGCTGCCTTTGTAATTTTTTTTTATATGTCAAAGTCTGACAATTCAGGAGACGTTCTGTGTGGTTTGAAGTATGATTGGTCTTAAACAAAAGTGCTCCCACCACGTCCAAATGCTCTTTTTCTTCCATTTCAATAACAGACTGAATTACCTCTTTCAGGGACTGTCTGCTTCTGGTTTCCACTCCATGTACTGGTATCAGGAGAAAATAAGGACAGGCCAGGGGTGACACCAGTTTTCAGCTCAGGGGAAAGGCAATACCTTGCCTCTCAGTAACACTCTGCTTGCCTTTCAAATGACCTGGCTTTCCAGAGCTGATGGGTGATTTATGTCTAGGAGACTTTTGGAAGAGCGTTTCAAGGCAGAAGATCGTTTGATTTAAGTGCGTCTCGACATGTTTAATATTTGAAGTGGATGGGAATGGATGGTGACAGGACAAAGAACTGGCTGGGGGATGTGGGGAAAAGTCTCAGGCTTGTTGACAGCGACGTGGGGAGAGGTGTAGCAGGTTTTTTGGGTAGGACATATTAGTTCTGCCCTGATGTGTTCCTGACAAGCCTGTCTTGTGTCTTCAGCAGAGCACATAGAACTGCGGTTGTTTCTTAGCTGTAGTTGCGTTTGAGTGTTGCCTTTTGTGTGTGGTTTTTCTTTTCTGTAGATGCTTGTGTGTTTGGAGGCTTGTTTGTTCTCAAGCTTCTAGTCACTTCTCCCAGGTGCCCAAGTCCTGTATTGGAGTGATAGTGGTGACAGGTGGAGAAACCCCCCAAACTTCTAACAACAGTCAGTCGTGTTACAAATTCGGCATCACATTAAAAACGAGAGAACTGAGTTGTGACTGCTGGCTTTGCTGTTGACCTCTGAAGTAGATAGAATGGATTTCACGTGCATCCTCCAACACAAAGCAAGTGTGACTTTTACTGTGTGTGACTCTTATTAATAATTGCTTCTTTCTTACAAAAGGCTTCTTGAAGAAGCGACTCATTAAGAACAACCTCAGGAAATAACCAGTGCATATTCTGTGGAACGGAGCATTTTTTGGTGGTTTGCTTTTTCAGTAGTTTCTCTCCACTGTCTGAATTTAGCAAAATGGTCTGTTTTGCAGGTCTCTTGGTCAGACATAGGAGGACTAGAAGACGTGAAGCTGAAATTGAAGCAGGCAGTTGAGTGGCCTCTCAAACATCCCGAGTCCTTCATCCGCATGGGGATCCAGCCTCCAAAAGGTGTGCTCCTTTACGGACCTCCTGGATGCTCGAAGACCATGATAGCAAAAGCTTTGGCCCATGAAAGTGGTCTCAACTTCTTGGCAGTGAAGGTAGGCCACTTAAACTTGTGTTTTCTTCACTCCTCTGTAACAGCTCCTGGTTTACCAATTTCCATTGTAAGTATCCAGAGGCTCTTGGTGTTTCTGATCCTTATGTATGATGCTACAGCAAACACCTTGTAAATATCAGGAAAGGTTTGGGTTTGGGTTTCTTCTGAAAAGGAGTAGTACCTTTTTGTATGCTTTCAAGAAGTATTAGCACAGCACAGAAATTGTATGTTGGGTGGGTGAGTAAGCTGTGGAGTGACACCTTAAATACTGGCATTATTTAAAGTATTTTTAGGAACGGCAACAGTGAAATTTTAAAAGGGATATAAATGAAACACAACTCTGGGTAGTGGGTAGCTGCTCTTACTGTAATAATTGCATGGAAGTGTTATCATCTCATCTCTTACATTCCTTTTCTTTCTTCAGGAAGATCACTTTCTTTATCTTACTCTTTATGTTGCGTTACAGATTTTTCTTGTCCTATTTGTCTTTTTTTTTTCTAAGGGGAAATAGTTCTACTTCAGTCAGTTTTTAGGAAGTTTGCAAAATCAGTTATATCTGGAGTACTCCTGGATAAATGGGATATTCTCTCAGCGTTAAGAAACACCTTAGGTATAGAAAAACTTTGGATTTCCTTGCCTGTGAATCAGTGTAATTGATCACTGTGGGTTGTATGGAAAACACATGAATGGAAGCTATTTAATAGTAATACTGAGCTTCAACGCATAGGAAGGAAAAAAAAAGGATAGCAGAGTGATTCCACATGGGGTAGTCCTGCAGCTGTGTCAGAATGTTAATGAAGTGCAAGAAAAAACATTTGTTTAAGTATTTTGAAAGTATCTCCTTCTCAGCAGTAAGATCACGTCCTCTTCTCTGTTGACCATCTCTTTGCTCACAAAGCCTTCTGTGTTAGTTTCTGCACAGCTTCCTCCTCCTTTCAGGCACGCTGTACCTCTGGATCCTGTCCTCTCTGGGATCAGGGGCAGTCACTCTGACCCCAAAGCCAACAGCCCTTCACTGCCCAGGCTTCCTGGGATTGCAGACAGGCCTCTGGGTCACGGTCACTTCAACAAGAGCAGCCTTGGAAACCTCAGCCCTTAAAGAAACGCTACCTTTACTGCCTCTTCCCTAAAGACAAAGTAGTTCTTTGTACTCCAGAGTCACTGGTAAACAAGGTAACCTTTTCCTCCTGTGCTGCTTAAAAGAAAACATTGCTCTTTGTCTCGCCCAAAGCACTGGTGCCTGAGAGGGTGGGGAAAAAAAGGTAGCACTCTGAAAAAAAAAAAAAAAGTTAAAAACGAATGCTGTTGCTCTTCTGTATCGCTCAGTCATAGCTCCATCAGACATTTTTACTGATGCAGTGAATTGTCTAAAGTGCTGACCAGGAGATATGCAAAGGTGCACTGGTAGGAAATGCTTGTGTACAGTTTTTCCATGGTGGAGTTCTGAGGGTGCAACCCCCCTATCATTGACAAGCTGTAGCAGAAGGGGCTGGCTTGAAGAAACTGCCTTTTATTCCCTGTTGGTTTAAATCCCTTGACCTGGAACTGGTCAAATATTTGATGTACAGATGTTTCAAGAAGCACATCTCTGGAGCACGTCCAGCCTTGGATATGTTGACTCCAGGAAAGGAACGTAGCCCACTTGCTCCAACTTCACATTTGTTTCCTGGAGGGGAAAAAGGCAACATCCATCATGTACTAAATGTGTTAAACATCGTCTGTAGCACTTATTCAAGTGCAACAGCCATGGATTAATTTCTACTGCATGTGTTCCTGCAGTAAATCCGAAGTAGATGTATATGGGGGGGTTTTGTTTTTTTTGTTTTGTTTTTTGAGAGGGGACTTTTTCTTGCTTATAGCCCTATTAATTTTCCTCTTCTTTACATGTGTCTCAAATATCCATCCCTGGAACTGACATCAGGTTTCTTGATAATTCACTTTTCAGACTTGCATTTTCCTTCCAGTCTCTCCTGCCTCAAATAAGTAATTTTGATGAGAATTGTCTGCCTTACAGCTTGCAGGATATTCTTCTGGGATAGTCCAGGGAGCACAGGTTCCTGGGCCCTTCTCAGGAAGGGACTGCAGACAGGAGGCTTAGCTTTGGCTGTGGGAGCCTGCTGAAACCTGAGAGGAAATCAGTCCTGGTACATGCAGTGCTTGCTTGGTCCAGTGATTTTTTGAAAGATGGACCTATTGTGTCTGCACACTACACTTCAGATCCATGGGCACAGTAAGTCCAGCTCTCCAGAAGTGCTGGATGTACTTTCCTGGTCTTAAGTTGTCTGTCCCGCCTCGGTGCCGCAGGTATCACCCTTGCCCCGGCCGGGTTCCAGGAAGGCTTTGCACTGTTTTCCAGATGTGTGTGTGTGTGCAGTGCCTGTGCAGTTTGGACAGCTGACTCTGTTAAATGAGATGTTTCAGCTGAGTTATGTGTCAGCTGTTAAAATGTGACCTTTCCATGTGTTTTGGGCACGGGGGGCTGTCACAGCTCCGTCTGACCGGCCTCTCGTAAGGTTCGGGAGATGGGCAGAGCGTGGATGTCATTTCTGGGCAGAGGAGCTGCAGAAAATAACGTGATAGCAGATGTTTGACGTTGCATCCTGTTCTCTCCTGAAGTCTATTGTGAGGTTTGAATGGTTGGTGTTACAATGAATGTGGCCCTTTTGTAAACATGCTCTTTGATACTTGGCCAAAAACTTTTTATAGCTGTATTTTCACCAAGATCAGTGACCTTTTGCTTTTCCAAGAGAAAAGCAGTTTGTGGATTGGTTTGTTTTACAAAGCAATCTTGCATATAATTCCTAAGGGGAATTGTTTATTTTTATTCCTTCTCTCGACTTTCTTTGTCTCTAATACAATGTATCTGCTAAATTTACTGAGGAGGAGGTTGTCAACTACTTTCCAGGGGATGGCTTATCCTGCTCCTTCCTGTCAACCCCCTTTTCTAAATCTCTTGCAGCACTGAGGCTTTTCAGGGTTTTAGTGGTCATCTGGATTATTCCCCTCTCCCAAACCTCTGTTACAGGAAAGGCAGCTGAACTGTTCTCAGCTTCTTGGAGATTTTTCAGTGTTTTGTGGTCATGGATACAAGCGAGTATAAGACTGTGAAGGAAGGACTTGGGAGAAATTTTTCATTATTCAGGGTTGATCACCAGTCTTGTCAATAGTTTTTGATCTGTTTGAATGCTTATTTCAGTCAGCCTTCTCTGCACTTTTGTACTTCTTCACAATCCCGTTGTGCTCGCCCCAAAGTTTTAAATTTTCTTCTGAAATGTATTTCATGCATCTTTTGCTAGTAGGAAAAGGATATTTCTGTGCAGATGTTAGACCTATCCATATTAATAGGATGAGGGATATAATTTTCACCTTCTGCCAGGCTGGTGACACCTTGCTGTTGTATTATACAACCATCTCTCTAACACTTTTGCTTTAGATGTCACTTAACTTTCTGAATTGAACATGAAGGAAATGAAGCCCTTTGTCACTGTATTATTTCTGTGGGTTATTTTCCCTCTTCTGACTGTTTATGTGGCAGGTATTTCTCTGTACTGTTTTGACAGTTCCTGCACTTAGGGTCAGCTTTGACTGGCTGCTTTTTTAAGATGTATTTTTATTAAACCACTAATGGTTTGTGGTGATATTGTAAGAATATTTTTGGAGGAAACGCCTTTATCTTGCTGCATGGCATAGATAATTATATCTTCATTTGTCTTGCATCTTAGTTTATTTAGATTTGTTATGACTGCCCTCTTGGCTTTTTAATTTTATTTTATTTTTAGCAAATCCTGTATCATTGTGCTGTGCTAAGGATCTAATGAGTATTAACTTTTCTTTACAGACTTTCTGTTGCTTTTCTGGGAAGCAACTGAGTGGAAATTTTTTTCTCCTGTTGTTATTGTGGTATTTGGGTCGTTAACTTTATTACCAAATAAGAAAACCATTGTGCTTTTTTTGGTTTTAACCTATTTCAGAATGAACACTGGATGTTGTCAGGCTGGGGGGCACCATCACGGTACCTACCCAGATAAACTCCAATATCCAGATATAATGAATTCCTTAGCTGATGGTCTGATCCATGGGGACTCAGAGTTCTGTTTTCTGTCCAACAAGCAGATTACCTGAGTTTATAGAATATATAGCAACAAAAGTCATGTAACTTCTATGTTCTTGTAAAGGTTTTGGAAGCATAATTTTTCCTTTTGTTGCTCCATGCTTAACGTTTGCCTGTTTAAAATCAAAACTGAGGCAAAAACTCACTTAGGCATAGTGACAAAAACCAGCTTAATCTTAAAAAGAAAAACAGAATTTAGACTTACAAAAGTTAAACCCCTTGGAATTCAGCTAAGTGAGACACGGTAATTGTTGTAAACAGGATGAAGCAATACTTTAAAAAAACCCTTCACACAAAACAAAACAAACGAAGAAAACCAAACCCACCTGTGACAGTAAGGAGTGTTTAAGGATGTTAACACCAAGGAAAGCAATGGTTCAGATGATGTGAACTATACTGTTCTAAAACATCGTTTGCAATGCTAAGCAGCTCCAACTATGGTGTGATTTAAAAAAATAAAATAAAGAAGAAAGAAAATATTCCTGACATTTTATTTGCTGTTATTTAAGAACTTGGGCTGCAGGAATCTTTTTTTTTTTTTCAATTAGCAGTAATTACAAAAATATACACTGTTCCCAGAGCTCTGACTTCACCTTGGCTTGATTTAACTTCCTGTATCACCTAGCCGAGGCTTTTGTACCACTCCCCGTGCTTGACATGTGCTTAAGCTTAGTTTGTCATCTGGGTCAATTATGTCAAAATATTTTCCAATTGAAGTTTCCTCTGCTTTTCCCTTCAGCCCTTGGCTGTGGCAGCTCAAACAGATTAATGAGGCTTGGAAAGGTCGACTGCTTTGCTTTGTGAAGAACTGTCAGTGAATTTTGGGGAGACAGTTTAGCCTTTTGATGAGGATTTCAGTGGGCAGAAGCTTGAACTAAGAAAGCTTAGTG